ATTCAACACACAAACATATATTCAAAATTAAAAAGACAAAGACACGAACGGCTGTCATTCAGGCGTCAAACTTGTGTAACATAAACACTCGGTGGGTCCCGACTCCCGATTAATAAATACACTTTGATGGGATGGAATGCATGGCTATGGTATGCGTATCACAACAGTGCTTTTCCTACAAAAATATGGAAAAAAAAAAACTCTCGTTGACGTAAAATGGTGATGCTGTAGTTCAATGTTCAGATGATGTACGTTTCAGTATAACTTTATCAGGCTTATTATATAGGCGAGCTTTCAGAGACCTAGACTCTAGAGCAGTGTTTCCTAGCCCGAGTCCGCGGTCTCAAATGAGTCCGCGATCAAATCATGATATTCCCTAATTAGGAAACCCTGAAGTTGATCATACGCTACAGGGATCTCGTCATTAAACCGGCTGTTGTTAAAACGAGCATGCTTTAGCTGCTGTTGACTTTTGTCCATGATTCCCTGTGTTCGATTTTCTTTTACCAAGTTTTGTTTGTTAGAGACCGAGGATTTTGCGTAAAAATGCATATATATATACCTTTCATAGCCTATTGTTGTACCATACCTGCCCAAATCACCTACTAAAATAAAGCTCCCCACAGATAAATTTTGGGTGCATAAAAACTTTTAAACTTAGTCAATTATTCCGCGCAGTAAAACAGTTTGAACCACATAAACCATCGTCAGTAGCAATTTTGGTAGCTGTAGCAATATTCAGATATAGTAATTCAGTAAAAGGATTACTCTCACTCCATTCTGCATATATAATAATACGATATATAATATTACGAAGTTTTTTTTCTTTACCTGTTGGCCTCTCAGACTTTCGCGCATAAAAACCTTTGCAGGAAATCGTTCGGTCAATTCCGAAACATCAGAACGAATTGTGACGAAAAGTTCGAAATATTTGCAATGTTGAGCCGATTCGTAACAAAAGTTGCAACAGCAAATGGTGACTTACCTTTTTGAGGATGGCGACTAACTAACTATTGCGTAAAAGTAATATGAACTTTGGGCACTGGAAGGCAGTAATCCCACCAGTAGCGTCAATATAGATTATGTTATTTTGAGCATTTTTGATAAATATTCTTGCAGACTGTTCCGACCACAACATAATACTTGGTGGAACTCGTGAAACTTTCTGCAAGTTTTCACGAATTAATTTATTGTTTTTGCCTGAAATTTTCTCAAACAGTCAATCGAATTCCGTTGATTATCAAAATCTGGGACATTCACCACTCTAGCCTCATATGGCGCATGTCTTTGTCCCAGTCCCAACAGAAGAACCTACAGCGGGGGAATCATTCTTCAAAAACACGGAAAGCACGAATTATCAATATAATTTAAATACATAACACTGTCCCGGTTTCTAATTATTATTTTTCGATTCGATACGCCCCAAAACTGAAGAAAATAGCTTTGTAGCGACTAAAATGACTTAAATTGATAAAAAATGATTTTTTCTAAATTTCCAAGTCGTTTTCCCGAATAGGCCCCAATGTGTAGTAACCATCGTTCACTCATTGTACTGTCATAGGTAGTGGACGTTTACAATCTAATTATGTCGCGATATTGCGCAAAAGGGCAAATTTCAATTGTACAATTGACATCAACGTTAGGCAGGACAGTCGGGAGGGTTCCATACAGTGGCGTAGCATCCACCCCCGCAACCCCCGCGGTCGCGGGAGGGCCCACAGCGCAATATGCTTGTTTCCTAATGTAAACTCTTTTAATTTATTAAAAGTCGTAAAGAAGTTTTCGTCAATGATTAAGACAAGTTATGTTTTAGTATGAAAATCTCGCTGTAGCGTTGAATTTAAGTCAGTCAAGTCAGCAAATCTTCCGTCACAATGGACAATGTTTATTGATGCGTCGGTGGTATTGCAGGCTTTTGCAGCTTAATTGCGGTTGGTTAGTCTAAGTTACGGTGCGATATGTCCTCAATTAAGAAACGAAAGTACGAAGACAAAAACAGAGTTGTCAAGTCAGAATGGGAAGAAGAATACGCATTTACCAGTCAGAAGAATAAACCTTTGTGAATAATCTGCCATAAGCTACTAAGTCAGAATAAAGTTAGCAATGTTAAACGGCACCATGAAACGAATCATGAAGACTTTTTACGAGACTACCCTTGTAAATCAGCTATAAGGAAACACAAATTAAATGAGCTCAAATTATGCATATATTTGAGCATAGCTGCCTTGTTTGTCTATTTATTGTTATTAGACTCTTGTGTGAATTTCATTTCTGTTCATGGTATTTTGATAATAATTATAAGTTCACAAATTCTGCGGCTTTTTTAAAGTTCTGACTTGCAGCCTGCGGCTCTTATACTAAAAAATTGTGCCCACCCCTGTGAACCTCCCGACCAGCTTTCCAAATTTTCCGTCGTGACTTTTGTGTGCCATCTTAAATTGTTTTCAGGCAAAGCTCTTTTTCCGTTCCAAAAATGTGAGAGATGTCTGCTAAGGTAACTTTTCGTTTGCTGTAAACAAGGCGCTGTTCAATTACATACTTGGATGGTTGCTAATTTTGGAAGAACTATATTTTTTCAAGTCAGCAATGTATTTTTTCAGATACTGCAGTACTGAGATCACCATAGATTTTTCATTTTCTGTGTGCATAACATAAGGTTATGCATTATGTTATTCCAGCCCCCACCTAATTACGTCACAGTAACGTGATAAGGCCTTCCAAACTATACTTAACTCAAACTATAAACCAAGTGGGACAACCAGTGCAACGATGCATATTGGACGCCATTATGGGTCTGGCGAATCGCGGTAACGCGGCAGCCTCGGTTTGTTTTAGCTTCGTCAGTCTGCTTATCAGGTCTCGTTTATCAATTTGTTTGGAGATTTGTTACTGTTTTGCATTTTATTCGGGTAAGCTCAGTATTTTTCGTTTGCTATTTGCCTAGTGAAATAATAATGGTATCGTGCGGTTCCGTGAAAGTTGCGATAGTTATCTATCTTATTATACCGTGGGAGTTATGGAACTTTGAAACCTCATATCTCACTAACCTTATATTATATTTAGAATAGTTTTATATTGTTTGAAGGATTCTAGGAAACTAATCATAATTATGAGATGGGGGTAAAATGTCGCGATTATCGTACAAACATCGTAAAAAATTGAAAAGCGTGAATTTTTTTGAAAAGCCTTCGAATTAAATAAATAAAACTTCGATTTGATATTTACTAGGTGATCTGACGACGCCATCATGTCTTCCACGTTCTCGTTGATAAAACCTAATTGTAATTTTAAAGATATCCAACAGTGAAAAATTAGCCTTCATGTTTCCGGCAGAACCATATAAAGACGCGGCGTTCAAATTTTTTTTTTGGCCATTTAGTTACGTCCCATAATCAGATACCAAACGTATATATCATGACCCTTGTTTTTTAGGTATTATTATCTATGTTTAATCAATCGTTACCACAATCGTTACTTAACTCTTTTTCGGTCTTACACACATGATACAAATTGATAGTTTTATCCAATATTTATGCCACCCATCCACAAAAGCAATCCTATTTTTGCGCAAAGTAGAAACTATATTTCGCGCCAATATTAATGCCTTTCATAATATATGCTCGTCAAGTTACTTTTGTGACAAAGTAAGTTGACTGCTTGAAATATAATTTCACATCGATAATATATATTATTTTATACACTCCATTAATAGATGTTCTTGTAACCTTGACATATACCGTTATCCTCCATTCCATTTATCATGTACAAATAGTTGCGAGTTTTTGTAGTGTAATTTGTATTGCAGTTCTGTCAGTTTGTTAGAATAAGTTTTGTGCAATTAGCGACACTTACATCAGGAACTCTTATAATAAAATGTGTGTATCTTTGTTTAATATTTTTGGTCTTATTGGTTGTTGATTTATCGAGGTAAGTTGGATGAACTTTAACCTTAACTTCATATATGCTGACCATACCGCCGAGCCGAGTTATCTGAGAAACATCTGCGGCAAATTAAAGTCGGGTATGGGATTAGTTTTACTGTACCGGTATTGTTTGTTTTCGGAAGCATGGACTTGGTGGTGGAGGAAGCCGTAACCGACCAGCGGTTACGTGAACCACCCAACGACGGCGAGGAGTCCAGCGATCCTCTCGCACATAACCATCCCTGCATGGGATTCGAACCTGCGAACCCACGCAGAGTAGTTAGACTAGAGGTGCGGTGGGGAGCGTATTCCTAACGCTTAGCCCGTTGATCAACACCGCCGCGCCAGCACTTGTGTAATGTGTTATAGTCACTTTGACTTAACTGTCATCCAAGACGCGCAGACGATCACCCGAAATTGAGCGGGCTATTTCACTCACTCGTTTTCTCGTCGCAACGATTCCGATATGAGAGAGGTCGCTGGCGTCATTGAGTTCGTTTTAGCTGCCAAAGATGTCATTTCGGGCGATCGTAACTATACTTTGGCAAGCTCTTTGACGTGATTATAAGGTCGTGGTGACGCAATCTTTGAATGAAGGTCCAGCCGGCCAGGTGCGTGTTACTTAGGAATAACATAATGTAAATCCTACCCTATCCTAACATATGCAAAAATGGTTGAGCCATGTCAACTAGAAGTACTGGGTCTCATTTAGTTTCGCACGGTACCTAACATACTTCTAGTGGGCGTTGCATAACAATTTTTTCACGTATCAATCCTAATCCCCACCTGACTACGCCATTCAAAAATTACGTCACTACGACGTCACAGTGACGTAATGGAGCTCATCAAACCATACAAACTGCCATACAAGACGCGCAGACGAGCCCCCGAAATCGAACAGCTATTTCTCTCGTTTTCTCGTCACCACGATCCCAATAGGAGAGAGATCGGTGACGTTAGTCAGTTCTTTATCGTCGGCGCCAATGCCATTTCGGGCGATTGTACGTATATTTGGCAAGCTCTATGACGTGATTGTGATGTCGTAGTGACGTAATTTTTGGATGGTGTAGTCAGATGGGGGTTAGAATTGACATATCAAAAAATTGTCATGCTACGCCTACTAGAAGTACGTTAGGTACGAAAGTACATGAGACCCGAAGTACTTGCGCCTAGGTTAACGGGCATGCGCCCTTAAATATATTTCCTTTTATTGATTTTATATTGTGGAATTTCCCACTGGTCCTGGATTTCTAAAAATAATACAGTAATAATTAACGTTACATACATACCACTATGGTACATGGGTGACTTGCTGTGGCTCCTACAACCCTCAATCCCTTGTGCTAGTGTGTTGGTGTGCGTGAAATACTATATTTTTTTATGCTGAATATATAGTAACGGTATGTGTAAAGTGTTTCGAATAACCATATTAAAGGATAATAGTGTATTGTCGATTTACTATAAGTATAACCCAGCCTCAAATTCAGGTAGGCCCAGTAAAGAGGTGATCTCCTATATGTAAAAGGTAAAATTGCAAGATTATTACATAGCTTCATTTTCGATTACATTTTTATATCTACAAAATAGCATTTTTTTATACCAAATGTTAAAGGTTTTTATCGGGTCTTGTTCCATGTTTATCTGCGCAGCAGAAATGAATGGCATAAACGTGCCGACTGTTTCAGAAGCCGTTTCATGGAAAATCCAGATTTTGGAACTTTCGAAAATCTTTCATAGTCCTTTCGACTAATTTTCCAATGTTAGATAAACTGATCTTATCATCTGTGTATCAAGTAGTATGTACTAAAATTTGTTCTACATTATCATCTTTGCAACCTCAAATATATAGCTGCACCTCAAAATACAGATAATATTAAATTACTCATTTTTAAGCTACATTAAATCTGCTGAGCTATTTTTATTCATGCATTTGCCTGTGTGGTAACTGACTCTCTTTTATTTTCCAGTTGATGTCAGTTATATATGAAAACCTTATCAAACTATATACGTTCAAATGTTTGAAGAATTGAATCAACGGCTGGGGTGGGGTTCAGCTGCTCCTTTGGAGAAAGGGCTTTTACTGATATCAAGTGAAGATACAGATGGAGGATTTTTACTCCATCACTTTCTTTCACTTTTTGTGAAGCACAAACTTCCAGTACTTCTTGTGACTCTATCCCAATCATTTTCTCATTATGCGCAAGCTTGCATGAAAATTGGTGCAAATCTGGAAAAAGCAAGAGCAAATGGTCATGTTTGTTGCATCAACATTATGGAGGAACTTGTATCTAACTACTTGGAATTTAGACAGTTAGACGAAGAAGAAGAAGAAGAAGAAGAAAAAAATATCAATTTAACAAAGACCTCTAACATAAATCATATCCAAGAGATTTTTTCCATTGTCAATTCCAGAATTGAAGGTTTAAGTGACACTATGTGTACAAGTCTACTTGTGATTGATGATATATGTACACTGTTTGGACTTGGTTTTTCGGTATGTGATATTGAGCGGTTTGTGCACTACTTGACTATTGTGTCGAAAACTAAGCGTATGCTCCTTGTTATACTAATGCCATGTTTTCGAGAAAGTAAATATTGCAGATTGTCAAAATTTCTGACATATTCAGCTCAAATTATTATTAAAGTTAGTGCTTTACCATCTGGTCATAGCAAAGATGTCCATGGCTGTCTCCAGATCCTCAGAAAAGACACCCCAGACTCTATTTGGCAATACAAATTGCATGACAAAAATCTTCATATATTCGCTAAAGGAACATCCTCGGCAGTTTTGTAAAAAAAATTAGAAAATTGTATATATTTAGATCCGTATTTGTCAAAGAAAGCTTGAATTTTTCTATATGGAATTATTTGAGGTTACTAAGTAGTACAGGATACTAATCTGACTCAAAAAAAGGATTAATAGGTTAGCATGTTCAGATGATATGTCTGTTAACATGATTTAACAGCAAAGGATCAAGAGGATGCCTCTATAATATTTTATTTCCTTCGATAATATATATATTACAATAAACTTACCGGTGAGTTAAACAAACCAACCCACAATTATAAGTTATTATTATTGACAGTTGAAATTCTAGCATACATTGAACAATTGTTTTTCGAGTATCGCATTCAAGGAGGAACACATAATTTTCATATCACTCGTTTAAATGGTCTCTTTCTTTATTATCTTACAATGTTCATTTTCTGGAGTGGGGTTTTGCTCGATTATTCGCGTCCCTTCCTCATGGCAGATTTCCATTTAAAACAGGGTAATTCGTCTTATTAATAAGAAAAATACATGAGAATTATTCACTTTGCATACGGCTGGTGTCGAATAATCATACTAGAATTTCCAATATTTTATGACGTGGAAACTATTTTTAGAGTTGATGTCAATATATTCACAATTATCGGTCAATTTGTTACAGTATCGCATGTGTTCGCGAATTCTTAGACGCCGAAGTCTAAATATAGAGGAGCGATGGAAAGAAATGTCTACCCCAAATTGTTTGAATCTAAAACGAAAATTTGAGCCTGTGTATTATACTTTTCCGGGTCCATTCATATGCACATCTTTTTGATATACTGTAGTTGCAGAATGGTTGATGTTTAAAATCTATATGCTTATCTGACAATGCCGAAATTCGAAGTAAAATATATCGTACACTGATTCCGCAAAAGAGCCCATTTCGAATAAATATATATATTGACTCAACGGTCACACATTTGTGCAGCTGAGCCCCGAACCGAACATTGCATGAATTAACAGAAGAAAATTTGACAAAATCAAGAATAGCTAGCTTCCTTATAAGATTATTATAATACGTTTTTTATGCGTCGGTTTTATGTGGAAAAGAAGTTAAGGCATTTATAGCTATTATTTTTACTGTAGTTGTACACAAGACTGATGAAAACGGCACTGATCCGGGCGATGTTCCCCTATGAAATACATATTATATGCGTTTGTACTACCATAAATATGTAGCCTACTCTGAGATTATTCTTCCTTCCATACACCTCCAGTAGTTCAACCATGTTCAAATTTGAAATATATATATCGAACTGTACATTATTTGGGGAGAAGCGCGATTTTTCCAGCAACAAGACCAGCGGTTCTTAAACTTTTTGAGCTGCGCCCCCCTTTGAAAAGTTTTACAAACTTCGCGCCCCCTCCTTTTTTGCTTAAGGAAATGCTTTTGTGGTGGGCAGTTTGTAAGATGCTCAGATTGTTTAGGCATAAAACGCTTCGGTGTACAACTTCGCTAATCACTGTCGTATGTATAAAGCCAAATAATGGTTGGTCATCATACATTCTCGTTTTTCCTCTCAGTTTCAAATACCTGGTAAAGTCAAACTAAGTTTTAGGTAAAACTGAACAGTTTCTGCTGAGAGCTATTTATAAAATTATTTTTAAATTCAGGCTAGGTCTTTTTTTCATGTGGACACAGTATTGACTGTGATTTGGGCATTAACTTAACATTTATGAGCGTTCACCGATTACAATGATGTGCCCAGCCGTGATTTTAATCGAGTTAAACGTTCACATAAGACACGTAAAATTTCAACCAACTGTTTACTTCATCACTATTAAGCGATGCCAAACTTATTTACTGTGTGTTAAAAATAAGCAACAATTAAATTTAGAAGCAGTTCATTTTTTAATAGTTATTATGCATGTGGGCGTTTCTCCGGCCCTTGACCGCTGAAAAATAAAGTCGCCAAGGCGTTTGCGATTAAATTTTGTTTAAATCTCGATTGTTTTCGTAAGCGTGGCGTGCTATTTAAGCCGTAAAAATCTTGATTTTGCTGTTTATTCTCCCTAAATCAGAAATTTCCCTCGACATCTTCTTGTGTCGCGAAGACGATTATAATTACTTTTTTTGTTCTCGAATGATTGAACCATGACACCTCTGAGAAAAACGAGTTAGTTTTTATCATATAGTCATCAGCGACGAGATGCTAAAGATAGAATAAAGTAGTGAATCTGCAACCAAATATTTATTTATTGTGAAAGCGAGATTATAAAATACTGAAAATAAATAGGGAAACACCATGAGTTTTGGGTGGACCGCGACAGATTAAAAACACTTTCTTAGACATTGCAAATCTTATAAATTCTTTGTGCCTGCGGCACACCAGTGGTGTTCTGAAACTACCGACTTTGAATAAATTTTACTCCGTGGGATTTTATCGCAGACTAAGGAATTTCTGTAACGGTGATATCTTAAAATTAATCGAGCATTGCGATAGAGCGGAGTAAGAGTTGCAGGGAAAGCTTATAATGGTGAAATTGGCAAGAATACAAATCCAAACAAAATGTAATCGGGCACTTTGCCACACATTTTTTATGGTTGCGGATTACCGTGATCGGTAATGAGTTTATTTTGACATGAGTCGCCGCAACCGCGAGTTACCTTAAACACAAATGAATTACAATAGAGAGACATTTTGAATTCTTGTAGTTATTATGAGACACCAGAGCATCTCCCCCCTGTGAGCATCTCGCACCCCAGTTTAAGAACCACTGAACAAGACTGACAACAAATAACATTCGTTTTGTTAGAAAATGACGGGTTATCATTGAATCCAGAGGCGCATCCGGGATTTTTGAAATGAAAGGAGGTTCAAAATCGTTATTTTCTGTGCAATAGTTATTGACACAGTCGCCACGATTACGCTCTTCTATAAAATATCTGACTTTTTCAAAATGACAAGAAAACGATTTTTCTGTTGCGTGAAATATTCAATCCATGGCCAATACGAGCATTTAAAACAGGGGTTGCCAAACTTTGTTGGCCACGGGCCAAAATTAGAATTGGAAAGAGTGCAGCGCCAAAAGTGCGCGACGGTTTAGCTGGGGTTCTGTGGATTCACTTTCATTTGACATTTTTTGAATCATGTTTGTTTGACTCATAATAGCACTTAATGTCGTATTCCTTCAGAACTGGAATACCTCGTTGGCAGAGAAGACAAATCGCTGAAGTTTGATTCTTTTCAATGCAGAAAAACGAACGCTCACATTTATGCAAGAAACGTCAGTTTTCAGCGTCTGGTTTTCGTTTGCATCTCTATCTCTTCTTATATGACTGATAACTAAATTTCTGCCATAGGCTATGCAATAGCGGTACTTACCTAATACCGGTAAAAAAATACCGGTATTCATAATTGAATTGTTACCATAAAGACGTGCTTAAACTGCGATAATGACATAGCAATTGGCGGTATCTAGATTGCAAAAAGGTAGAAACAAAATCTGTTGAACACCATTTCACTAAAGCTGGGCGGGCCATATAATCGTTATGCGAGCCGGATTTGGCCCGCGGGCCGCGGTTTGGGAACCCCTGATTTGAAATGTCTTGCTGTATTAATTCAATATAGTAACTATGGTATAGATTCCGACCAGTAGGTTCATACAATAATGGTTCACATATTAATAGAATTGTAGCCTACTGAAGCCGGTTTTATTATCAATTTGAAACACTGAAATGTTAGCACAAATGTTTTTTGCACGATTCTATGACTTGACGGTTTTATTTATAGGACTCGTTGGCATCTGGCTGGACCGCCGGCCTAACAAAGGCTATCTATACAGCCGATACTAATATGCGGTATACTAATATCTGGTCTGCAAAAATTGTTTATCTGGACAAGTCAATACTATTGGACGCGAAAATTTTATGTAAGTAAGTGGTTATCTAGCTGTGACACCCTATGAAGTGTTACTGGCATTAAAAGATCAACAATAAAAAAAACATCAGTCAATTGTTTATAGTGGGCCATTGTTTTATTGTTTCGAATGTTACAAGGCTATTGTTCGAAATGGGCACTAGTGACAACATAGGGGGGAATTATTAATATTATACGAGAGCAAGTAAATCAAGATTTGGGGAAAATCATTATTTTTTTTCCTTTGAGTTCTAAACTATAGAGCATGAACATTAAATCAAAACTCAGTATAACAGACTAATGCTACAAGCGATAATATACAAGATATAATATAAAAATACAACTTGAATATATATATAAGTAGGCTTACCATACGTCCCGGTTTAGCCGGGACAGTCCCGGATTTGACAAGCTGTCCCGGCGTCCCGGCCGGTTGACTCAAATGTCCCGGTTTGTCAGCACGGTTTTCATGGGTAAAAAATTCAAATTCATTAATATTACAAATTTTTTTTAACGGTGACAGCCCATTTAACACTGTTTTGCGCCACACTTTGCTAGTTCAGAGAGAGAAATCGCTCTATTGTTATGTCACAATTGGTATACGTTTTAATGCGTTTTCTGGCGTTAACTGCAATGTCGTTAAGTTGTCGAAATGCCAAAAAGAAAGTACAAGTTTTCTGATGAGTTGAAGAAAGATTTACCTTATTTGAAGCAAACTGAAGGAGGAAAGGTACACTGTACGCATTGCAGATCTGTTCTTCTATTAGTCATGGCGGACGTTCAGATGTCAACGATCATATCCAAAGCAGGAAGCACAAAACAATAACATTGAAGCATCGACTCGACTGACCAATTTTGCGATAACAAATTCGGATGATTCTGTGTCGTTAGCAGCCGACATTTACCTATCACACTGCTATTCATGACCAAAGTTTTGACTGCACCTCTAAATTAATTTCAAATTTTTTTGAGGCTAAATTTGCATTAACTTGTAAATATACACAGTTAGAATTTCTGATGTCCGCTGTTTGATAAGCGGATTCGCTGATTTTGCACGTTTAGCCAGAAATAAATGAGAGTTGGTGCATTGCTCCGTTGTTCTCCTCTGAATTTAATGATGATTTACTTCAAGCTCGAATGGCAACAAAACGCAGAAAAGTTGATGCTAAGTGCAAAGGGTTCAATGGCGCTGAAAATATTCAAACGGAATTTTTTGAGATGCAATGAGGAAATAAATCTATATTCTATTCGAGAGATGTATCACTGCTTGATTTTTAATATAAAAACTATCATCCGTTCAGTTTCAACTTTCTAAAAATATGTGCGGCCCGCCAATGACTCGCAACCCTTAATTTTGGCCCGCGGGCGACAAAAGGTTGCCGACCCCTGCCGTAGATGTTGCAAATATTCTGTCAGAGGTGAAGCTAAATTTGCAGGGAAAAAATTTGTATTTAAAAAGAATGTTTGCGATTTTTACGAGAAATGTCTATCGTATATAGAGCTGTACGATGAAGCCTACAATGCTGCCAGGCCACACATATGGACAAATTTGAAGAGTGAAATAAACTGGACTGAAGTGTTTGGTCTGCAAAATTGATAAATGATATATTTGGTTAGCTGATCAGATTTTGAATAGCGATGCACTTTTACG